TTATGGCAACTCTAGAACATTCTGAAGTTTATCGCTCATTCTCTTTCGCTCGCTGTTCGCAGTGTTCATCCAACTTGACGTTTCTCTTTGTGGAACATTCTACGTCATTCTTCGAACATTCTGCCTATTTCTCGTTGTTCGCTTTGTGTTGCCGCAGTATTCGCCACAATAAGGTAGAAGCATGGTGTAATAATAACAAGGTGTTGTCAGTAACTTAACCTCACTTTTTCGGCAGGTCTATTCCGGTCACGCATTTTAAAGTAGTAGAAAAAGTACTAATTATTTACTACTTTTAATCCGTTCGTGCATACTATTTCAAATTAAATGTAGAAAAATGTATAATTACAGGCTCATAAGCCTGAATATATGTTTGTATCGTCAGCTCCACACAGCTTGGACATATATTGTAAGTTATAAAAAAGTAAAGGCCGTAAAGTCCTATAAGACTGTTAATGATTTTTTAAATAGATTAAAACACAGAAATATCGATAATATAAGCGAAATCGTAATTTAACCACTATATTCTAGTGTATCAGTAGTCCATTTGGCTCGATATTATGACAATGCAGCAAAAGATATTCAATATAAACGATATACGATTTTTGTGTACGTGTTTTTCCATTGATAACCACGATATCTTTTATATTTTATATTTTGAGGACAAAAATTATACAAATCCAGCAGTTTTAAATATTAATATCGCTCTGAAAACACCAAGTTCTTTAAAAATCGCGGTACTACTAAATGGAGATTTTAGATACTATTTCCCAACGAATAGTAGTATAAAAATTAAGATAGGCAGCACTGAAAATAAGCATGCCGATGTTGTCAAAATTACAACAAACACGTCGCTACTGACAATACCTTGTTATTATTCCATCATGAGGTAGAAGTAGTTGAGATAATTTTTAGACGAACTTTCTTATTTGTTGCCATTATGGGTAAGCTTGGTGACAGGTAATAAGATCAACAGAAATAAGGTCAATTGACTTTATTTCCCACCCTGGTGCGAAACATATAAAGCACACCCTGGTGCGAAATAACGTCAATTGACAGTGTTACCTTTTAAGAAACGAAATAAAATCCATTGACATTATTTCTCTTTCAAACATTAAATTTGGTTAGTTTCGCGGCGGCCCGCGTTAGCGTACCCCGCGCGACCGGCGCGCACATCACGTCACGCTACGCCGCGGCCCCCCGGTCCTCCTATTCCCCGTCTCCCACCGTGCTGTAACGCAGGTAGATTTAGTTTTTGTGTGGATCCGCCACTGGTATGGGAAAATACTAAAGTAGGTTTGATCAGCAGCTTGTGTGATTTATTTAGCTCTTAGGATTGACAAACCCCTTTAGTCGACCGGCATTCCAATCGCGGCGAATTCGTAAGGATCTATTGATTTTAGATTGTTCGGTTTTACGTTACGTTACGTACATTATAACCATTTGCATTCATTTCCCATACAATAGATAATTAAGAGACAGTTCACTCCGTTCCGTTACGTCCATTATAACCCAGGCATTATCCTTAGTAAATATACAAGATGGAAATAACACAATAAGGTGAGTTGACAGGCAGGTCTAATATTCTATTCAATTGGGAGTAGAATTTTCAACATCGATTTTTCCGATATCGATATTGTTCAGCCCGATATATCGCCATATCGATTTTACATGCAATGAATTAAATCGATTCATGACATCGATACTTTCTTAAATATCGAACATTCTTAGCGCGGAACTGACATACTTAAACAAAAGCGTCAACGCTACGTCAAATGCAGAAATAACACCAACAACAAGGCGAATTTATCCTTGACCAACCATAAGCATAGGTTTGTTTGTGTGTAACACGAAAATGACAGTTTCGCTGTTTTCTGCAGCCAACTTCAATACCTAACGTCCGGTCAAAATCGGGTTTTCCCACCGCTCAGCGTTGACGCCGCGTTAAGCCTGATATACAGTTCAATGCGAGCGTGAGCGTGAGCTTTTTATTTTGACCAATATCTTCGTTATTAATTAATTTTTGCAATAGTTGATACATCAAAAGACAGAGAATTAAAATATCTTTCAGAAGTATAGAATAAAAACTAATTTAAAAGGCGTTATATGCTTTTTTCAAGCTCACACTCTATTGTGTGCGTACGCAAAGCATTCGCATGTGAACGACAAGTTTTGACAGATGTGTGTCAAAATTGTATGGGCATGAGAATTTTTTGACAGCCAGACAACGCTGACTCGATATTTAAGAAAATATCAATATCATGAATCGATTTCATGCATTGCATGTAAAATCGATTTGGCGATATATTGGGCTGAACAATATGGAGATCGGAAATATCGATATTGAAAATCCTACTCCCAATTGAGTAGAATATTAGACCTGCCTGTCAACTCACCTAATTGTGTTATTTCCATCTTGTATATTTACTGAGGATTAAAATGGCATGCCCGTCGACTCAAGCGGTTTGTCAAACTTAAGAGCTAAATAAATCACACAAGCTGCTGATTAAACCTACTTTAGTATTCACCCATACATTTTTTTGTAGATTAAAAATAAATTTCAACTTAAATATCGAATACAGATTCAAAAAATCGATTATCGTGCCATGAAATATCGATATTCAGAATAATCGATACGATATCGAACATTCCTAGCGCTGACGCTTTTGTTCAGGTAGGTATGGCAGTAAGAAGAAGCATGGCTCCTATCGCTATCACCTGTAGTTGATACGCCTTGATTGAGTAGCAAAATTAACAAAATGGATACGTGCAGTTTGTGTAAGAAAAAGTATTGCAAACTCTATAATCCTAATGAAAGAGTACTAGGCACGCAATTGTCGGGTGCAATAAATTTTATAATTGGTGATCATGTGAGTAAAATGCAAAAACGTGATGGAAATAATATCAAACCTTTTTCTTACAACAGGTTGATTTCCCTCCAAAATACCTAATCTGCATCGAATGTTCGGTGGGTCTGATAAACACAGAAATTGTTGTAAAACATCTCTCGAAATCCTTGACCGCCACTAGAAATTTTAAGAAAAGCCGATCAAAAAGTGCCTCATCGCACAACGAGCAGGATGGAAACAATGAAGAATGGGAAGACCAAAGTAAAGAGAAAGCGGATGAAGAAGTTGACAGGTCACAAAACCAAGATGCATCCAAACCGGATGACGCGTCGACGTTTCTTTGTACGCACTCTGAGCTGACAACAAAAAAAGCTAACTTATACAAATTTCTGTCACTTTTCGGAAATCGCAATCGGAAATAGGAATGTGCAATATTTAAGAAAGTATCGATATCATGAATCGATTTAATTCTTTGCATGTAAAAATGCATATCGGGCTGAACAATATCGGTATCGGAAAAGTCGATGTTGAAAATCCTACTCCCAATTGAATAGAATATTAGACCTGCCTATCAACTCACCTAATGGTGTTATTCCATCTTGTATATTTACTGATGCTTAAAATGAAATGCCGGTCGACTGTTGTCGACCTGTTTATATAGCATCAAACGCGGCATCGAATTTACGCGTGTCAGTGTAGCTCGCTTGAAATGCGAGTGTTTATATGCAACACAAGAAATGAGTCGATCAAACACACTTTGAAACAGAGTTTATCCCGATGCAACCCTGTTAATACATGTGTCAATTCTTGAAATGAACATTGAAAAATAATAATTAAAGTCTCAAACAGCCTTGTAAAAATTATCTTAGCTATTAATTTTATAACAAAGGTTAGCATAAATGTAATTTCAAGAACTATGTAAAGGGTTTACTCATATATGTAATACTCCTATAATGGCAGTAAGAGCTAGTACCGTCCGAAAACACTACAGTACAGATATATCAATAAACACGTACGAAAGAAAAGGAACACATACGTTTATAAATAAACATGTACACAACACATATACAAAAACGGCACTCAAGTACACAATACATTGACAAAAACGGTACTAGACTGTCTCGCTTTGATTTCGGAATGCTTACAGGCTAACCTAATATTCACGCACGCCGCCAATTTATTGTCAAAAATTTCTCATGCACATGCAACTTGTATGAGATCAACCGAAATTGAACGGCGTGCGTATGAAGCTAACTCAATTTCCAATTTTTGTTCTGCGTGACATTTTGATTTGACGTTTCGCTCAATGAAATCAAATGCAAACGCATGCAAGTCAATTTCGGGTGACGCAAAAAAACAAATTCGACGGCATGCGTTCCAAAACGCAAGCCGCGAATATTAGGTTAGCCTGTTACACATTGACTGCCATCCCTAAATTGGCGCGTCAAGCGCCAAACAACTGTCAAAAATCCTCATGCCCATACAATTTGTATGAAGCATCCCACAATAACGCGGCGCTAACGCCGAGCAAATGGAATTTTCATTTTTGACAGGGCGTTACGTGTCGAAGTTGGATGCGGAAGACGGAAAGAAAGAGAAAGGACAAAAAAGTGAAAGAGGAAACGAGAATAAAAACGAGAGGATCTGAGAAAACGTCAAAAATTACGATGCGTTGATTTGGGGATAGCGCGCGCTGACACTCGTCGACAATGGATAACGCAACGCTTAGCGCTCCAATTTAGGGACGGCAGTGAGAAGTTAGCTTACTGCCAGTATAGAAGTATGCGCGTTCCTTATCTCCCAGAAAAAGTCCGAAGTAGTCAGATTTAGTCCAAAAAGCGTTCCTTAACTCGGAAATGACAGCAAAAATGAGAGAGCAACAGTCAGTGAGAGCGACTCTCATCAGTCCGAAGTAGTCAGATTTAGTCAGAAGAATTTTTTCTGGCAAAATCCTGAAAAGTGTCAAACTCAACTGAATTTAAATTAACGGAAATTAAAGAATACGCAAAAAGTGAGAATAATCTAAAAAGTAAAAGAAATGAATTGAAATTGGAAGGAGGCAAAAAATAATTGATATAGCAAGTGTTTATTGTGCTTGTGCTTGTGTGAATGTGTTTTGTACATACATTTCTGTTCTTATTTGACGTTAGTTTTGTTGTTGCCATTCTTTGGACTAAAAATTTGGTTTTTTGCGTTCCTTTACTTTTCCTGTTACTCTCTTTTAGTGAGCGCATTTTGCTTACGCTCTGACATTTTGACACTTTTCAGATTTTAGTCCAAAAAGATAAGGAATGAACCTAGTATTACATATATGGGCTATGCTCTGCACTTAAATAAAAGTTAAATCAGAATAACCACACTCAGAGGTGTTACACGTTTAATCACCTGATCATTGTGCATCTGCTGCTTACTTGTATACCAGCCCTGCTTTTACAACACAGCGTGCCAAAGCTTTCAAAAGCTCTCAGTACAAATGAAAGCGAAAGCTAGTCCTAGTCTGTTTTACAACCACTTTTTACTCACTTAAATAAATAGTTTATTGAAACTGAAAATAATTAAAATGAGATTTAAATAAAAAATTAAATTAAAGTTAATTTCCTCTTAAATAGTTTGGTGAAACTGGCTGTTAGTGTCATTCGCGGCTGCACTCTGAACTAGCCTTAAGTGTCATTCGATTATTTATGTTTTGCATACATACATACATACTTCCATCTTTATATATAATATTCTTGAACCTGTAAACATCATGAAATCTAACGTTAACAAATCACGCTATTGTACCGTTTGTAGCCTTCTATAAAAGACGAATTTGCAAATAAATAAGGGTCATTATATTCCCGCTGGTCGGTGTGTACAAACATAATCGGTTTTCAGTTGCTTTTATCGTACACCTACTTTAGTATTTTCCATATATGTAAGTCCCCTTTCAGACACGTCAAGTCTTGCTTGTACTTGAGTGCCGTTTTTGTAAATGTGTCGTGTACATGTTTTTTTATAAACGTATGTGTTCCTTTTCTTTCGTACCTGTTAATCGATATATCTGTACTGTAGTGTTTTCGGATGGTACTAGCTCTTACTGCCAATATAGGAGTATTACATATATGGTATTTTCCCATGAACGAAAGACACAAGATCACGTAAGAACAGGATAGTAAAAAAATTCGATTTTTTAGCGGGTTCTACGCCATCTTGTTTCACTGGAAACGAGCGAAAAGTAAACAAAGCAAAGAAAACAACGAAAACCAAAATTAGCCAAAATTATTGTCAGCCTCTTTAAACGCAAAATTTAGGTAAAATGATGCAACAAAATGATTTAAAATGTGTTGTCATGTTGAATTAACTCTTCTTTACTTGAATAAAAGTGTAAATTAGTGGTGCTTGTGATGTAAACAAACGCTCAGCTGACGAACCCGCTTTCGCAAACTTTTTTCTCAAAACCAGTTACAAATACAACGTCGCGTTCTCACGTGATCCTGTATTTTTGGTTCATGGTATTTTCCCATACACTAGGTTTGTTCCACATGAGCCCGCGGGTGCCCAAAACAGCCCAGAAAGCGTTCCTCACGCTAGAAAAATGGGTAATAGAGAGCGAATACGTTCCACTTTTGGATCGTAAATGTCTTCTTCTTTGTGCACGCAACAGCCCGGACTTTTTGTTCGGACACAAATGTGCAAAAGGGCAATTTGAAATAACTGCTGTTGTTAAATCCGAAAGCAAATTTTATAAAAACAAAAGTGAAAAATATCACAGAATTTTCAGAAAATGTAGTTATTTGGTAATTTTATTAGCCATATAAAATAAATACACGTAAAATAATTAATTAGAGCGTGGGGAAAGAAGCATCTTTTTGGTAGATGAAAAATAAATTTCCCCCCTTATTCTTGAACCCGAATTTTCGTAATTCGTAATTCGTAGCTATGCTACGAGAAACGAAAAATCCACATGCTGCAACCCTTGCGGAGACATGTGCAGCATTTCCAACTATCAGTTGTTTTTCGAAGATAACTGAATGAAGGACAACAAAGTGGAAAGGAATTAAAAAAAACATTCGTGAAGTGCTTATTTATAGTAACTAAAATTGTTTAATTTTACATATTTTGAAGGAAGGAAGGAATGTGGACTCTATTACATTAGCAATTATAGCAGCGGAGTAAGAGCGCGCTATGGGAATGATTTCGCAGAGATACGCAGAGCTCTCGGGCATAATAACCATGTGCGCGTCTATGTCAGCTTCTGGTTGAATTGTTGAACTACAAGCCAGAACTACTACAGAAAAATTAACAAAAACCAACAAGCACATGATCAAGTGAATTGCAGCGGAATAGCTGCGCTTGGTTGTAGTTGGCTTAGCAAAGTGAAATGGTGGAAATAAGCAACAAGAATTAGCAAGGCAAACTTAGCACAGTGCGTAGGCAACTGGCTGAGTCAGTGGTGATCGTCGGTTCGAATCCTACTGAAAGAAGTCTGATGAGGAAATGTGGTGATTTCCGAAATAGCTATCACTTCTACCATTTTTTTCAAATTATTGTTGCTTTTCCACAATAAGTTTTCACTTAAAACGGCCTCAAGCTCATCAAAATTGTTGAGTATTTTGTTAAAAATATTTTTTTTTATTTCCCAACTGCAATATCGTCAACTTAATCTTCCACATAAACGGCTTTGACTCATATAGTGAAGAAATTTCCGCCTCAATACTTTTTTCTTAGAAAATTGAGCTAATTTCACCACTTACGACACCCGCATGCTGGTACAATCATAAAATTTTCAAATAGTTTTTGAAGTCGCACCATCAGCTGGTACAATCACACCACAAGAACATACAGGCTGCGTTTCTTTATACATTCCGAATAATCCCATTTCACAGCCGGAATAAACAGAATGCGTTTGAAATATACGTCAACATATCAACAGGAACGTTCTAAAGAATAAATAAACAAAAAAGCTTATTCCAAACGTTCAGAATGAATAAAGAAATGCAGCCATTATGCAATATACTTATATCTGTAATAAGAAAATTTTGACTAATTTGTTCGGATTTTGAGGATTTTTCATTTGCTTTTGAGTAATTTGGTAAATTTTCTGGCAACACTGGTAGATCTACCAATTAAGTGGTGAAGTCCGTGCACTGATCTCACCGCTCCCAATGCTGTCCGTGGAACATGAAGAAGGGATTCGAATTCAGCGGCCATTGTGTAAGGACGGTGTATAAAGGCTTAGATTTTGTGTGAAAGACAAATTTGTAATTGGAACAGAATTTGTTAGCTAAAATTGTGTAAATGGTTAAAAAATTACAGCATTTGAAGGATCGAAGCCGGAGTGCAGTTTTTTTACGCAGAAGTCGAATTTGAAGTGGCTTTTTTGGTAAGTTTCTTTTTGTACTGTTGGGTGCCTCGTGGTTGCGCGTGCGGCTGTGAGACAAAATGGAGGACGCTTCAGCGCCCGATGGCGCTGAGGCAATTTCTTCTGACTCTAACCTGCCTGCAAGTTGGTTTGCAGAGGTGCAGAGTTGGAAGAGTGTTAAGCGTAGAAGAAGTAGAAGAAGGAATATCAAAGGTATTAATGATGGCTTATTAGAATCAGGTACGGACGAAGATTGCAATAAGCAAGCAAAAGTGCTTAATGGAAAACCGAATAAGTCGAACAAAATTAAGGATCAGCAAATACCGATGCAAGGTTTAGTGGTTAAAAAAGGTTTTTTTGACAACATGGACGAAAGTACAGTTGCACAGACGGTTCGTAATATGACAAATTCTCAAAGTGAGATCACAGACACACTTTGCAACTTGGGCAAGGGTACAGTTATGCAAAGCGTTAGCAACGGGACAAATTCGCAAAGCGAGGGTACAAATGCAGTGGGTTACACTAATGGGCCAGGCGTTAGCAGCAAGAGTAATAACGATGAGGCAAGGTCAAGGATGGTGAGTGTAAATACTTTTACATACTCAAGCAGCTACAAGGGTGACTTTTGTGTGTTGTTCGACACGTCTAAGAGCC